GCTCTGAGCAACAGCGGTTCGAGTCAGCCCGAGCTGAGCAGCCGTGAGCTGCCAACAGGTGGCGGGATGGCTCAGCTAAAAAAAAAAAAAAAAATTAAAAAAAAAAAAAAAGAAAGACTTGTACGAGAATATACAGAGCCACTGTATTCATAATAGCTCCATCTGAAAATAGTCTAGGTGTACAATACGAGAAGAAGTAACTGGTATATACACAAAGCCATACTACTCAGCGTGACAAGGAACCTGCAACATTAAACTAAGACATTAAACGTCTATCTGTCCGAATGTGGAAAAAACAGTGGAATTTGAGGACTTTAAAATGAGCAATTGGAAGAACTACAACCTCCCATAATGAGTCATTTCTGAAAGAAGTCCCATGTGAAATGCTAATTTCAATCTAAGTGGTTCACATAGGAATTTTCAATTGTTTTGTTAACAACAGGCAACTCAGAGATCACCACTGAATCATAAAAAGATAAGAAATGCCATTTGTTCAAACTTCTCATTTCTGATATTTGAGGAAAGAATTCTTTATTTGAGAGGATTATGATTTTCCCTCTAATGTCAAAATGTTAGGTATGTTTCCCACATAAATTTGAATTTAGGTAAACCTTTTATTTAAACTATTCATATTTTTAGCTATCTACTCATTTGTTCAGTGATTACAGATTTCACTTTTTATTTGTTCTAAATTTACCTTAGTCAAATTTAAGTGGGAGCTTCTTTTTTCTAGTATATAAAATTTTGCTTAATAGGATATATTTTTGTTTTCTCTCTTATTTCTGATTTTATTAAAGACCTAGAAATTAAGCATTACAGAAAAGTTTATAAGAAAAACCAGCAATTCCTTTATTACTCCCTGCCTCCAGTCCCAGTTTTCAGAAACAAGTGTTGTATTTGTTTAATTTTAGTTTCTCTGGTGATTGCCTCTCTATTCTAAAGGATACCCTTCTATTAATATTTTTATTTTTATTTTTTTAGCTGAGCCATCCTGCCACCTGTTAGCAGCTCAGCGGCGGCTAAGCTTGGGCCGGGAATCAAACCGGCGACCCTGTTGCACAGAGCCCGCACCCTTGAGCAAGCTCTTAACCAACTGAGCCACTCGGCTGGCCCTATTAATTTTTTAAAAATTATTTTTTATTGTCAAATACACATTTTTTAGAATTAGTTTCAGCTGTACAACACAGTGCAATAGTTACACTTTTTACCCCTCGAGGTGACCTATTAATATTTTTAATATTCCCATATAAAATAGTATTGGCTCCCTACTATGAAATACGAGGATTTGGTTTCCCTTCTGCTCAATTTGAGTTTTCTGCTGTTTATTTTTATGTTTTTAAATAATATATCTAAATGTCTATTTCCCATTTCATCAGTTATAAAACAGTGTCACTCCCATTTTGTTTGATAATAATTTTAGTGCCTCCTAATCTGTTAGTGGAACCTAATAAGCACTTAAGATATTTTGTGTATAACTTGAATCTGAAAGTTGAAACAGTAAATAGTGTTTATTATTATGATCAACAATAATGATCAACTCTACTGAGAAACTGTACTAACTAGTATTAACATTTTCTTTACTGCGTGGTCAGAATATTAACCACATGAAACATGTGTTTTTCACCTCTTCAGCCCTACAAACTCACTGAAGCACTGATTTGAATGGAATAAGCTGTAATAATTTCATTTTAACTGGTGACTGAAGTATCCATCACCTAACATGATTTTGATTATTTTTCCCCAAAATAGTTTATTTAGTCTTGGTTATTCTGAGTCTTATCTCCCTACTTTTTTCCTCTGTTGTTTTTAGTTTACTATTGATACATTTTAATGGAACATATAAATATAAAGGATGTTTTTATAGTCTTCATGATCATTTATCAAAATATTAAATTAAGAGTTATTTGAGCATCAGTTCCTGATTAGTCTAAATCGACACAGAGGTTTATTTATGAATTTATACACATAGAATGTTATGAAATTCTGATTCATTGTAAAAGAATAGTTTTCTTCTCGTCTGTTACTTACCTCCATAAGGAAATAAACAAATCTAGCTGTGACTCAGTCTTCTTTATAAATTTATGCTCATTAAGCTTGGGGCATTGAGATCGAACTAAGGAAGTTGCAGAAAGTGAGCACAGTAAACCCAGAAACGTGCTTTTTTTTCAAGAAGATTTGGGCGTATTGCATGGGGGCCTATTTACATTAAACATAGGTTGTAGAATAGAAATAAAATTCAAGTGAAATTTTAAAGTAAATAGGAAATGGCAAAGAAAGTTCTGTCTTCCTGTGTTGCCCTGAGCCTTTAGAACCTTTAAACTCTTGCTTTACTGTGACACAAGGAATATTTGGGAAAAAAATATATAAACTGCTCAACTGCAAATCAGTGTTCCTTAAGGCAAAGTGAAGTATATCCACAGATGGCCTATTTGTTTTTTTCCCTTATCTATTCTATCCTTGTGCGTAAGAGACCACTGATTGTAAGATGCACTGCTTTCTATAACAACAAATTATACTACTGTCAAACTGTGACAATCAGTTGTTCACCTTCACATGTTGTTGCCTTGAATTTCCTTTCCTTTAATCTAAAGGATGTAACAGGTTCTCGTGCATTCTTTGGCATGGCTTTGTGTGTGAGAGGCAGTATCTTGTCTATTTTGTATTTACAAAACAAAAATAGCTTAATTTCATAGGTATTTTCTTTCTTTGGATGCACACAGCATTTAATTATTGTTTTGCAAAAAAATATGGAACTGTAGTCATTCATCCAGCCATCCATATTTACATCACTAATATCAAATATACACTCTGCTGCTGTGTTTCTGTTCCTTTATTACCTAGTAAGTAACTTGTTTCAATGACAAATCATAGTAGTATAATCTTTTTAAAGACATTTTAAATGGCAGTTAAAACCAACATGCACATTGCACAAAATTGAGTTGAAGGGATGATATTGTGATTAGCTTCAATCAAGAGATGTTAAAATTGATAGGAAAATTCTGCATCTTAGTATCAAAATCTTAAGTAGTAAAAAATACGTGTTTATGGTCAAGACACCCATCTTTTTTTCTCAAAAATTTCCCATAGGCTAATCAAGCATTGCATTGCTGCTTCTTATTTTGTTTGTTTGTGTTACATTGTTGCTGATACGTGTATACATCCCTTCTTGCCTAGAACCTTTCTTAACATTCATGGCCCTTAATTTTACCCTAGATTCTATCAGAGACCCATTACAGGAATGGGACTCATCGGTAATCCTTAGGGCTGCTGCTGATTTTTCATGAAATATGTTTTATTAAACAACAAACTGGAGAACAAATATTAGGGAGTTGAGAGGCCTAGGCTCTCATCACTGCTCTGCCACCAGTGAACATTCTGACTTAGGTTTTCTCCATTGTTAAACTATTGGGTTAGATGAGAGAGTTTTCAGTCCTAGCTACACTCTAGAATCACCTAGACAGCTTTTAAAAGAACATCTATGACTGGCTCTCACCCCAGACCAATTAAACCAGAAACTCTGGGCATGTACATCAGGTGTCAATATTTCTTAAAAGTTCTTCAGATGATTCTAATGTTCAGCCATGGGCTGACCTCTGAATAAGATGATCCTTTAACACTACATGAGAGATGGTACACTAAAGTGGTTAAAGTCAGGTTCTGAAGTCATCCACCTGGGTTTAAACCGTGTCTGTGCTATGTATTTGATCAGCATGCTATAAGATATGCTGTGGTAGAAAATCAACCTAGTGATGACAATGATGATAAAATAATAATTATAATCACCACCATCATCATCATCATCATCATCAACAACAACCATGACAGAAACAAGGTACATTTACTGACTGTCTTGCTTACGTGCTCCAGGCACGGATTCTAAGTGCTAACTGCACCCATTCAAAGGATGCTCACAACAGCTCTTTGAGATACCTGCTCTATATCTCATTTTGCAGACTAGGCAACAGAAGCACAAAGTTAAGTAATTTGGCTAAGTTCACATGGCTAATCAGTGATAGAGCCGGACTTAAATTGAGGGCATCTGGCTCCCTAGTCTGTACTCTTAGAAACCAAATATGAAAGTGTCACAGAGAGAGGGGAAATCCTTAAAACCTCCATCGGGCAATCAGATGTTTGGGTAACGATACACTCCTTGGGAGTTGAATTCAACAAAAGGCTTATGGACACAAAATCTGATTGTAGGCAGCATCTTAGAGTTTTACATGTGAAGAGGACAGATGACAGAGAAAGGTTTTCATTTTTCTAGTCCCACCGTCACGTATGTAAAACCGTGTGTTTCCTTGCTGCGGCGGTAGCATGGGAGAGCGCAGAGCTTTCCAAAGTCACACCCCTCACAGGCGGTCTTCCCGAGATGCTTCACTGTTATACTTCACAGCGTGGCATTGCTCAGAGCTACCATCTCACTCATGCCTTCAGTCAGACTTAGCTGGAAACCATATATACAGAGACCGCCAAAGCGCTTGAAGGGAAATCTGTCAGTCAGTCAATAAGGTGGAAAGGGAGTTCCGATGAAAAAAAATCAGACTGTCCTGAGCTGTGTTGGGTGAGCCAGTTTAGAATGCCTTTGTACCCTTTTTGTCTTCTTGTTGAAAGTAAATGTGTCCTTGCTGACAGAAGTCAGCATTTCACGTTGCCTACATATCAGCCATGCTGAGAAATCAGAGGCTGGTAGAGATTTAGAAAGCATTAAAACAGCAACTGTATTATTTTAAAAATAAGCCAAAGGATTAACTTAATCTATTGCCCAGAAAGAGTCAAAGAGGAGGTGAACTTCAAATTTTTAAATCTTTTGCCTTGTCATTCATCTGGCAGGCTAGAAAAAACTGAGCTTGTGAGGGAGGTTGGCCGTTCACTCAACCTTCTCCCGGTAATTAGGGAGTCAAATAAGAACTTTTAAAGTAAATGTGTTGCTGTTTTCTAATTGGCAGGAAAAAGCCCACTGCTGTCATGAAGGCTTTGATTTCAATGATCTTTCTCTCACTTAGGTACTGCTTGGATGACCGGAAGTCTTTAGAAAGAGATGGGGGATTTTCTGAACTTCAGTCTCGTCTCATTCGCTATGAAACTCAAACCACTTGCACCCGAGACAGTCTCCCAGCAGCTGCTGTGTTGAGCCCTCTGCCATCTCCTGCAGCTCTGTCAGAGCCAGGAAGTGTCCCTGACGGAGAAGCTTTACAGACCGAACTCCGGCCCGAAGTCTCCCGGTTGAAAAGGAGATCGAAAGACCTGAATTGCCTTTATCCCAATAAAAGGTGATAATATATTAAGTACATAAAGATAGCATCTTGACAAAAATATTTTAGTTCTTAGGGCATTTCTTTTTTTCCTGGTAGCCTTTCATATTTTTAAGCTGCTTTCTGCATAGATTTTCGATGCATTCCTCCATACCAGGAATTTTGTTTTTATTGTGAGCAGTGGATGATTTGCTTATAAGTTATAGAAAGAAATAACTTGGAAGAAACCCACTGTTACTTGCTTCATATGCTCATATGCAGTCCATTAGCACAATGGATTGTAAAGTTCTGAAGCCATGGAACACTGGAGATCTTATCCAATAGATGAAGCAGCTACTAGCTTCTCTATCGGAGAGAGCGCCTGGGGACGGCAGTTCTGCTAGCCCGTCCTGCCCTCTCCTCTCACTGTTTCCTGCCTGCATTGGCCCTTAAATAAGGGGTTTCATAAGGCACCATTTTAAAAGCACTTGTTTCTCATAAAATACAGCTTTAAAGCCTACATAATAATACATTGTGTGAAATTTTTTAGATGCTTTTTTTGCTAGCTAAGTAAAATGTCCAAATACTTGAATAGAAATTAGAAGTTTATGCAATGAATACTGATTTCTGTTGAATTTATATATCTTTCGAATCTTTGTCAAATTAGGTCTTTGGCATCTAAAGGAAGCCTTAAATTCGTGTTGTGTTTAAACCTTTCAAAAAGTATGAAATTTGTTAAAGTGAAACGTTCAAATCTTTTTTTGAACAGTTAAAAATATTAGAATACTATTAATATTTCCCTGATATGGAATAACTAAGTTATTTTCATGAGGACTTTACAAATTCATGGTACTTTTTATGCCTGATAAAGCTAAAAAGCAAATCCATTAACATTTAGAATACTGGATTTTGTAACAATATTTCTTTCTTCTGACTTGAGACTACTAAAGAGATATGTGATCCAGAAAAGAAAGTACACAGTGGCCTGTTGGTTAGCAAAATTGAAGGATATGAGACCCTGTCTTGTAAAAGGAAATTTAAACATTTTAGAAAAATTGAAACAAGAGTCAGTTTTACAGCTTTATTTGAATTTGTTTTAACACCTATTTATTTTGCACAGGGAGCTGCATAGGTACAACAAGTATTGGGTATTTCTTTGTCAAAATTATCTTAATAGAAAAGTATAAGTACTTAACAGATGCATGCTGACTCTATAAGCAGTACCACCTGGCATGTCATAGCTGATTTATGTGAGACATTGTAAATGATGGGAGGGCGACAGTAATATTACTTGTTGCTTTTCCTCTTAGCTGGAATTCTAGTGTGTTATTAATTGCCTTCTGTGTTTCAGTCACTCATTTGAAGAACTAATGGAGCAACTGTGTCATGTGATGTCAATTGCATATTTAAGGCAGTAGCAGCAAGAAATTTTGTCTGCTTTTCTTGGGTTTATGTTCAGTGGGTATAGTTGTAACATTTAGGACAGAAAATGGACCTCCTTGTTGATTCACTTAATCTCTGTTTTTGATGTTTCCTCCCATGACAGGCTTGTGAAATCCGAAAGTTCAGATTCTCTTCTTTCTCAGTCAAGCAGCAGTACTGGTCAGCACCACCATGCGATGCCATCCAGAAAGCAGTGGGCACAGAGATCATTATCTGTGACTTGTCCACCTGTTCCAGCTCGGAGCTGTGAAGCCCCAAAAGTCACTGCAAAGGCCAGTTCAGGTCCAAAAAGGATGCATGAATCAAAACCTGTGAGGCAAATTAAGGAATCAAGATCACAGAAGCATACACGGGTAAAGGTTCATTTCCTGTCTCTCCTGTGTGGGAAGAAATGTCTTTATTTGATTCATTTACAGTATATGTCTAAAAATTTTATGAACGAATTGAATGGTATCTGTAATTTACTTAAAAATACTCTAGGGCAAGGGGACGAATGGGAAAGTGAGCGGCAATGGTCTAAATGAAACAAAATTAGCCACAAACGGCTCCTCCTTGATGCTGGTGTAGAGATATATTGAGATAGGGATTTGGTATAAAATGTTCTCTCTACTTTGCAATGTATGAAATGTTCCATAATAAGAAGTAAAGACACAGGTATACATGCCAGCTGTGTATCACTTTTACATTCAGATTTCAATTCAGAACTCATGATTTACATTTCTCTGTTAAGATACTCCAGTCATCTCTTGCTAACAGATCTTATCCTGTGACACGTGTGACAGTGTGTATATTTCAGGTCTCTATTCTTCTCAATTGTTGTCTTAACAAGCTTATCTGTCTTTCGTACAGCTACGTGACTGTGTAGTTGGTAGACTTGAACTCTAAAGCGGAAATAGTATGTTTGTACCTTTTCCAAGAAATGTTAGTCATGTGTTGTGTTCTATTCAAGATCTTGAAAGAAGTAGTTGCTGAAACCCTGAGGAAACACGGTATTGCTGAGGCACACGAGTGTTTTACGGCCTGCAGCCAGCGTCTGTTTGAGATCTCCAAGTTCTATCTAAAGGTACCATGTCTTCTCCACCAACAGCAGAACTGAGACCACGTTCTCATGTTCCTAATGAAGTAATCTTTAGTGAGCCTTTTTCACACTCATTACTTATAACTTGTTTCCAGATTTTTTTTTAATGGAGACGAAAAATTGGAGCCAAAATATTTTATATTTGATTTATTTGATTTTAGTCCTCATATGTAGAAGACTATATATATATTTTTTTAAATTAGGGAATTGGGGGAGGGGAACAGTGTTAGGGAATTGGGGAAGGGAACCAGCCAAGTTGTTGTTCTTCAGTCTTCGTTGTGGAGGGTGCCAGTTGCCATCTGGCTGCCTGTCGGCAGCTCGTGGCCTCTAAGATCCAGGTGCTGTGTTCAATCTTAGTTGCGGTTGGGCACAGCCACCATCCCATGTGGGAGTTGAACCAGCAGCTTTGTTGTTAAGAGCGCATGCTCTATCCACTGAGCCATCTGGATGGCAGCTCAGCTAAGAAGATTACATTTTAATTGGTATCCTCAGTATTTTCCTAACAAGTCCTTTAACTGAAGTTGATAATAAGCTTCGAAAAGTGCTTAGTTAGTAATTTTCGTATATAGTGAAAAGGCCACTGGACTGAGTATAAAAACACCTGGTTTCTAATTTTGGATCAGCTAGTTGCAGGACATTGGACAGATCAGCGACTCAGATGGCAGTTTTCTAAAATGTATCTGTAGATGCTGTTAGATTATCTCCAGTTTTAGGAAGTTCTGACTTGAATTACAGTTTTATATGGGTCTCTGATGAAAATTGTGGATTGACCACATGTATTCAGTTCCCCTCCTTTCTGAAATCTCTCAAGAAAGACAATATGAAAGTACAGAAACCAAGAAGAGAGGAAAGAAAAAAATGTGGGCTTGTTTTTAGTGCCCTGTTGACGAGAAGAATTACACGGAAGCGGGACGCAGCAGAGTTAGAGAAGTGACGACCTGAACGCCCGCCTAGTAGAATACCAGTGAGAATCAAAGCGCGTCATCTGACACAGTCTCTGAGGCGCTCAGGACGTGAAGACACCAATGTCATGGACAGCCAGGGGCCAGGGCCAGGTGGGAAATGGGAATGAAATGAGGATCCACAAAGCCAGCTGGGGAGCTTTCAACTTGCTCCGCCCGTGCTTCTCCCCCGTGTTCACTACAAAGCCTGTCACACATAGTTCCCTCCGCCACCTCTCCAGGAAATAGTCTCTGGAGGAGAGAAGGATTGGGGGCCGCAGTGAGCAAGCCAGTGGCCCCCTGGTCACCCGCCTTCGTGAAGCCACCGTTTTACAAGCTCTGCACCAGATGGGGCTTCCAGTAAGGTTGTCGATATCTCAGTTTTAGTTTTAGTTTTTTAATGATATATTTTGTGTAATATAAAATATCTAAAATAATGTCCATTAGTCATTTATCTACGTCGCAAAGTGCTTATCCCGGTAAGTCCAGTACCCACCTGATGCTGTACATAGTTAGTACAATATTATTGACTATATTTCCTATGCTGTACTTTACATCCCCATGACTATTTTTTTTTCAATTACAGTTGACATTCAGTATTATTTTATATTAGTTGCAGGTATACAACATAGTGGTTAGACATTTATATAATTTAGGAAGTGATCCCCCTGATTAGTCCAGTACCCACCTCGCTCAGTATCTATTTTCATTTTATTTAATTTTTATTTTTTTTAAAGATTTTATTGGGGAATCGGGGAAGGGGAACAGACAAGTCGCTGTCCTTTTGTTCTTCAGTCTAGTTGTGGAGGATATCGCTTCACTGGCCCATGTTGGTATGATCATTGCGCTCTTCCCGGCTGAGGCAGTTGCTTGCCGGCCATTGGACGGCCGCTCAGGGTGGCTCACTCAGCTCACACTGGCTGCCGGCCACTCACAGTAGCTCACGGCGGCCCACTGCGGCTTCACTGCAGCCTACGCCGTCGTCAGCAACTCTCAGTAGCCCAGCTCCAGGTCGAGCTGTTGTTCACCATATTAGCTGTAGAGGGTGCAGCATCACTGGCCCTCTTGTGGGATCCGAACTGGGGCTCTGCTGCTCAGAGCTGGCGTCCCAAGCCAACTCTTAACCAAAGCCCCACTCGGCCGGCCCTCAGTATCTAGTCTTAAATATGACTGGACGGCCAAGGTTTAGCTGCCTGTTGAGGAAAGCTTCTCACACAAGAGCTGCGGAAACAAAGGATAACCTCAAGTTTATTTAGTAACCTGTTCTCTGTAATTTAATGTACAAGTGGTAAAATGCTACATTTTATTATCTTTAGGATCTTAAAACTTCAAGAGGTCTATTTGAAGAAATGAAGAAAACAGCAAACAACAATGTTGCACAGGTAAATAAATTATTCCCATAAAACTATATTCAATTAAATTGCTATTTTATTTCAGGGTAACTATGATGCTGTTATCTATGCAGTAAGAACACTCTTTAAAATACTTAGTAATAGACTTATGCAAGCAGAGTATTTAGTAGTATTGACTGGGTTGCTGTGTGAACAAGAGTTTCTAAAATGATGCTAAGAAAGAAGAATTAAAAAAATAAATCCAAGGGCTGGCTGAGTGGCTCAGTTGGTTAAGAGCTCACTCAAGAGTGTGAACTCTGAGCAACAGGGTCGCCAGTTCGATTCCTGGCCCAAGCTGAGCTGCCGCTGAGCTGCCAACAGGTGGCAGGATGGCTCAGCTAAAAAATAAAAAATGAATAAATAAATTAATAAATAAATAAATAAATAAATAAAAATAAATCCAAAGAGCTAGAAAAATGACCCCATTTTGATTAGTAATTTTCAAAGTTTGGTTTAATTTCTTTCTAGTGACACAAAACATTTTCAAGTAAAGGTGAGAAAATGAACCAGAATCTTTATTTTGCTCCATGAGAACATGTATTATACTCTGTGGTAGAAATCTAGCAGAAAGTACTCTTAGAAAATAAGTGTTTTTAAGATAAAATGTTTTAAGATTTTCAGTTGTTACTTTTTATTTTAAAATTTCTACCATTTTCTTTTGAAGTTTTAACAGTATCCTTTTCAGTCACTTACATTTTTAATAGAAAATGAACCATAACCTTATTTTTTCTCCCCCCAGGTGATTGAATGGGTATTAGAAAAGACAAGCAAGAAATAACACAGGATCATTTTCTTTGGACAATTATAAATTGACAGAGCTACTACTACTTACTACTTTCTTCCCTTAGTTTGAACATTATAAACAAATTTCAAAGTTTATTTAAAGAACAGATGTTACATCTCTAAAGAATTCCATAAATACCCCATATTTATGTAGTTTTGAGGATGCTCAATGAATGTATTTTAATTGTATACCTATTTTATAGTTTCACTATATTTTAATTTTTAAAGTTAATATTTGTAGATATGTTTTAAAATTTTTACTCTTGGTTATTTAATTATTCTAATAAATAGAAAAATGTACTTCTTTATTTCTTGGTGAATGTGTTTGTTAGGGCTATTTAAATTACTGAGCCTCAAGTGACACAGTGCAAATGGTTTTTCTCATGTGTTCCAAGAGCATAATTAATGAATGGCTCCTGATTTAGAAAATGTGTGTGTGGGGGGGGGAAATTCACACAGGATGCCGTTTTCCCTTACCACCACCCTAAAACCATTCCTGTTGGAGTTACTAATGTTTATTTGGGATCAAAAATGAAGAATGGGCAGAACTTGTGAAAATAAGACATTGCAAAAATGACTAAGTACAGACTCCCAGAAAAAAATATCTTTTCCCCATTGTAGAAAATCTAGAAAATGCAGGAACTACAAAGAAGAGTGAAAAAATTCCAACATTCCCCCCCATTACCTATAGGAAATCACTGTTAATATATATATTTTTAAATATATGTAATTATTTTAAAAATACTTTCAAAGTTGGGGTTGTGTGTGTATATGTATGTGTTTATGTGTGTATTAATTTATAACCTGCTTTTCACTTAATGTGTCATGAATTTTAGATCTTATATTATTATTTTAATAACTGCATAATACAAATGAAACAAACTTTGTTTATTTAATCCCCCATTGTTGATCACATAGGTTCAGTTTTTTTCCCTATTATAAATAAAACTTTAATGAATCTTCCTAATACAGTATTGGTTATTTCCTTTTCAGGAGTGGAGTTTGTGGGTCTTAAGATTTTTGGTAAATATCTCCAAATTGCCTTTCTGAGAGATCAGTTTACACCCCTAACAGCAGAGTCCCTGTTATCTCTTTTGATGACTGAAAATAATGAGGGGTAACTTTTTTTAATATGTGGGCCACTCTTTAATTGCCTGTTTTTATTTTGACTATGTTGACTTTTTCTTACTGGTTTGTAAGGGTTCTTACTTGTGAAGTGTATTAGCCATTGTGTTTATGGTGTTTTTTTTGACACTGAGAAGACACTGAGCAAGACCATCTGACAAACGCCACTTGGTATAGAAGCAAAAACTCATGGAGGAAGAGGCAGGCTGGGCTGAAGTGCAGCTGCGCATGCTCCCGGGGAGAAACCCAGCTGACCAGCGGCTCTGCGCCGCTACGGGGTAAGCATGAGGGGCCGCGAACGGCATATGGGAAGGAGGGTACAAGGCTGTGCTGAGACATCAGCTATTCGGAGGAGTTACTTCCGGCTGCTGGGACTCCTGCTGAAAGCTCACACTCGTTAAAATGAGAAGTTTAGAATGAGACCCTTTTTCTTGGGAAGGAGGACGTCACGGGCCCGCCTCGCTAGCTCAGCTGTGTTATGTGGTGGTGATACATTTGGCAAAACTGTTGCCTGCATAACCAGGACAAGATAAGTTAGTTGTACCTCATGCACTTCTGGATCTAGTTAAGGTTATCTCCAGGCAGACTGTTAAAAGTATCAAGGCTGCATTTGTTTATTTATTCAGGTGAGTATGATAAGGTACAGGAAAAGATAGCGTGCTAAAGAAGGAACTGTTCTGTTTTCTAGCAGAATTTAAAAGAGATACCGAGGGCATTCTGGATTAGAAACTAAAATGGCTTCCACTTCCGGTATCTCCAATGGCAAAAGATTCTCAAAGTGAGAAATACCTCAGGAGAAAGGTCACACCAAAGGCGTGGTTCTATATCCTTTCTGAAGACCTTAGAAATATGTAATGATTTAAGTGATATGACAAATGATATGAAGTGTGAAGTGGTATCCTTGTGGTTTTGAGTTCATTTCCCGAATAACTAATGATGTTGAGCATCTTTTCATGTGCTGATTGGCCATCTCTGGAGCTTCTCTGGAGAAATGTCCACTCAAATTCTCTGACCATTTTTAATTAGATTATGTGTCTTTTTATTATTGAGTTGTACGAGTTCTTTATATGTTCTGAATTCTAGTCCCTTATCAGATATGTGATTTACAAATATTTTCTCCCATTCTGTGTGTTGTCTTTTCACATTATAGTTTTCTCTTTTACATTTAGGTCTATGATCCATTTTGAGTTAGTTTTTGCGTAAGGTGTGAAGAAAGGACTCACCTTTATTCTTTTGCATATCCATTTAACTAGTTGTCTCAGCACTCTTTGTAGAAAAACAAAACAAAACTGTACTTTCTCCATTGAATTTTCTTGGCAAAAGAAAGTTCATAACCTTTTAAGGATTTGAATCAAAATGAAATTAGGCCTCCTGCCCACCAAATTTCAATAGGCAGGAAGAAGGATGAGAAAACGATTCATTTGTGAACAGGGACTATTTCTTATGTACAGGAAAGACTTTTCAGAAACTCAGAGGCAGGAGCCCACAGGACAGAGCTAAGAATAATGGACTAGGTAGCAGCAATGAACCCTGTGTCACATTCCCTGCCCCTGACAGTGAGAACTGGTAACATGCCAGCTGGATTTCAGAATTACTGTGGACTAGTGACAAGTCCCTTCATGAAAGGCAGTATCTGTTGAAGTTATCCTGTCCATGCCTCACCATTGAATGTTGAGTGTATAGATGGCATTTAACCAGTTTAATTAATTAATTCGGTCACAATATTCTGGATTTTAAAAAGCCACATCCTAGGAAGTCTCATCCCTATCTGGATCAGATAAAGATCACAAAATACTGGAATTTAGCGCGTATTGGGAAGAAATGAACATACGAGCATTTTGCATATAGGAGAATGAAAATAATTGTGGCCAGAGTGGAATATAGTAGGTTAAATACGGCCACAAAGCTTTGAGCTCCTCCTTTCAGGAGATGGAGTCTGTTTCCCTCATCCTTGCATCTGTGCTGGCACTATCACTTGGCCTGGCCGTATATGACATAAGAGGCATGGGTGAGCCTCAAGGACCTTGCAGCCTTTGGTTTGCTCTTGTAGAACCTTGTCCTATGTAAGGAACCATGTGAGAGAACTGGTTAGCCTCCTAGACGATGAGAGGCTGTATGGAAGAGAACCGAGGTGCCCCGTCTGACAGCCAGCACCAGCTGCAGGATGGCGAGTGAGGCGTCTTGGACCCTCAGCCCAGCGCAGAGCTCCAGCTAAATACAGCCACGTGAGTGAGCCCAGGCAAAACCAGCAGGAAGCAGCCCAGCCAACCCACAGCACGGTGAGAAATAGCATGCTGCTGTGCTCTAAGGGTTAGAGGTGGTTTGTTTTCCATAAACATTAGGTTCCGTTCACATCGAAGAATTAATTCATGGAGAGGCCACGTGCAAGAGCGAAAACTGCAAAAGCGTCATTTATTAAGGCCTTAGTTGGAAGGCCCTGCTTGCAGAAAAAGGAAATCACTTCTCCTTAGACTGGATTTGCCTTTCTTGTGAGACCCAGAAAACTTGCAGAGGAAGCAGTTTCTTCACCTTGTGTGCAGGTGAGAATTACGAAGCAGGGAAGCTGCGATTAATGAGGCAGCACACTGCCTTTGAGTTCTTGGGAGGAACTCGGCTTTATTCATCCAGAGAACTGTTAGGCGAAAGTTGCTGAAAGTAGAACTTGCTTTGTTTCTTGGGAAAAACAAAGTTTTCTCTCACCATTCCCAGGCCCTGGTCCACGCCAAGGCAGAATTGCAGCCCTCAGGCCCGTGGGTTCCGCCTCTGCACCTGGAGTGAGGGTGAGGCCTTGTCCATGGGATGGCTGCCTTCTCTATGGGCGGGCTGATTGCGTGTCACTTCTGACTCCTGTTTCGTCCCCGTTGGGTGTCCCTTTTCGCCACCTCCACCTCTGCCCTACTCTTCTTGCTGTGGTACTGTTTGAGCATTGTGCTCCGTATTGAGTCTTACACACTTCCAAGAAAAGGCCTTATTTATGTCCAGGAAAAAAAAAAAAAAAGAATAGAGGATAAAAGGCCAAAATAGAGGTCCCTACTGCTTTTCTGTTATACAAACATGACTTCATAGCCACCTTGGACATGGTTTCGTTGTGTTAATGAGGCATTAGACTTGCTTCCCGTCGTGAAATCAAGTTTAGTGTCATTTAGAAGCCCCCAGGTGACATGATAATTAATTTCTGGCCATATATTCAAATAGTTCTGTTATTTAAGGTTTTTATTAACAACTTAAAAACATTATTTACCATTATCAGAACATTATTTACCCATTAAAAAGAAAACCTTTTTCAAAAGAGAAAGAGAATTGTTAAATGCACATTTAATTTCACATAATAGAGAAGGGTATTAAGGTCTACCTGTGGCCCTGAGCCTGATTTCCAGCTATAACTGATAGTAAGAGGCTTTCTTTTTTCTTTTCTTTTTTTTAATGTACCCTTCCAGACATTTTTACCCAGGTACAAGCATATTATCATGTGCCCATTGCTAATCAGCTGAGCAGACCCAACACCCCTTTGCTAAGAAATATTTTTAATGTCCCCTTGGCTGTCATGAGGTAACATTCATAAATAAAGGTCTTTGGCCAAGCTTAGAAAACGAAACCTGAGGCAAGGGTTAAGCGGATGTTTTATTCAGGAGGTCCAATTTCAGGGCCCTGAGAGTGAAGAAGCTTCTGGAGAAAAGGCAGGGAAGGCAAGGAAGCAAGGCCGGGTGACACGTCACTGCACTGGCCACTGTTTCGTGAGGCCCCAAGAGAGACAGCCAGTCACCCCGCAGGTGTCTTTGCAGTCACGTGGGATGTCTGTCAGGATGTATGATGTATGGAGACACCGAATCTCAGAGGAGGAGGAAGCAGAGGGTCATTCATCTGCTCAGGTGCTTCCTGTTACCATGTTTGGCCAGACAGAGCTTTAAGTCCCCCACAGTTCCGGGTTGCTCAGGTCATTATCTTTAACAGCTGCTCAGGACACCCGTTCTTAAGCCCTATAGTGTGGCCTTTCATCCAAGTCTGGAATTGATGACAGAACCCAGAAATTCAAGTATGCACCTCCTCAGCCTGGCTGCCCGGCAGCACCAAGGCAAGAGGTGAGGGGAGGCAGCGTTTCCAAGCAAGCAATTAGTGGACGCTAAGTGGCAGAAAGCCTTGGGCCAAGCAGAGCTGGCCGTGGTACCTAAGGTTGAGTAAGCAGCGCAGAGTCTAGGAGGCCAGATGATAGTGCTGACGGTGTCTGCTGAGAGACATAGGATGTCCCCAGTGCAGGAGTCTAACCTACATGCACTCAGAATTTTTTTAATTGCTACACCTAACTGTAAGGGAAGGACTTTTAGAAAAGGAATGATAATGAAATAATACTCATTTCAATATAGAGAAGCTAGGATACAACTATACTACAAGATGCAATAGGTGAATATTTGACTTCTACCTAGATCCCGCATGAATAAGGCGCATATAAAAGTACTCAGGTATTTTGTATTGGTGACTCAAGGACCATGTACACATTTGCTACTTGTGACTTCTTTTTATAAAGTTTTTTATAGGATGCCTCATGCAAAACAAAAGCACAATCTTCCCTATACATGATGCATACTAAGAAAATTCAGAATATATGAAATCAGTCAAAAAGCTTTTTCATATGTAAAATGTAGTCAGGGCCTAGGCTCAGATAATTATAAACATGTTTTTTACCTACATGAATAATTCAAGGGCACAAAAATTGTATGGGAAATCGTCCCATTGGATGTTGGGACTGTCATCACACTGCAGGAAATGGACCAATTCTGACTCTTGTTCAGTAAACACCAGTAGTGCCTCTGCTCCCCAATCATTGTGACAACAAAAACAACACTAGCACAGATTTCCAGAATTCCGGCAGTGCCACTCTTAAAAAAGAGAACCACTTTTAAAAAAACAAATGGAATGTGTATCTACAGTATATCTCTCTGTTTGCATTTTGCAGCGCTTGCCTTTAGAAATTTTTTCCACAGTAGCACTTATAAATGGACTATTCTTTGTTGACAGTTGTAGAATATTCTAATGCATAGGTGTGTCAGGATTTATTTAGTTTTTGATGGTCACATTGACCTCAGCTTCATGTTACAAACAATGCTGCAGAGATGATCCTTATACATTAGTCTTTGTGTCTTTGTGCAATTATATCTCTAGGATGAATCCTCGTAAGTCAAAGTGTGCATGTATTTTTAAGTTTTTATAGATATTGCCAAATTGCCCTCTAAATTATTACTAAATATATACCTACTAATGGGTGTATAAATGCTTGTTTTCCCACCGCTAGTTATTATGGAAAGTTTTAATCTTGGCCAATTGGTATTTTAAAGATGAAAATGAGGAATTATAAATGTCCTATTTAAAGCCATTTTCAGATCATGTTATTTTACCTAGTAGTCCCCAGCCTTGATTTGTCTTTTTATTTGGGACACGCATGTAGAAAAGATTGGACTTTCAGTCTTTTCTAGGGTAGAACAGGGTAATGACTGAAAGTTAGGCAGACACAAGTTTTGGCTCTAAGAATGGAAGAGCTTTCTAACAACTGTATCCATCCAGCCATGGAATGGCCTGCATCAGGAGATAAGGAACTCCCTCCCCGTAACTGGAAATTTTCTGTTTCTGGTGGAATAAACAATTATAAGGTATGTTCAGGAAGAGATTCCTGAGTTCAGTGGAATATTATACAAGGTCAACATTTCCCAATATGTAGTACCTGGACCATATTACATGTGGGGTGACTTTGGGTGGTACAAACTTAAAATATTTTAATTGGTGTATTTTCATTTTCATATGTATATGCTATGTTGCTATATTACTAGCAAATCATATACTAAGATTCTAAGGTGGTGTTGCTAAAATTATGGATAGACTTTGGGAAATAATGTGCTTGATGATCTCTAAAGTCTCCTCAAAACTGAGATTCTACCATTCTAAATATAACCTGAATAGCACTAAATTTTCAAATAGTCGAAAGACTTCTCACCCCGAATCTGTCGCATTTATTACAAGCAATTTAAACACAAACCAAGCACTACAGAAAATTCAAGTATTTGGAGCTTGGTGTACAGGTTGAATCCCATGAAAATTTTATGAAAAATGAGATCCCTGAGCCCCTGGTGAAGACCCATCCTGAAACTATACACACAAAAACATGCAAAAAAAAATGCTAATAGCATCCCCTTTACCCGTTAGCACCTTTAAAGGCCAATCTTGGAGGAAGAAAATCGCCTGCTGTGTCTTCACACTCCCATGTCCCCCTATAGCTATCATGAAACCAGCATCCAGTCCACCATATTCAGAGGTGAATATTTATTTAACTCATATAAATTTTACATGATACCCATGGTGCTATAAACATAGGCACATTTTTAAAACTCAAGGTACATTCAAAAATTACTCCCTTGCCCCAGCCCAGTGCAGTCCTTTGAACGTAGAATATCTAAAATTTGTACAACAAGGGCCAGAAAGGTCCCTGTACATTAATTTTAGGAGAATCCTTCTGACCATGAATGACTGCCCCTTCTGACTTCAACCAAGAAGGGTCAACAAGCTTTTAGACAAAGGAGCATGCATTGTTCAGCATTTTAATCCCATCGATTGATAGAATGAGTTAAATTCCTCTGCATTTTTTTAATAGGTGTATGGTTTTGTTTCTCCGTTCAAGTCAGAAAGAAAAAATTGTCTATATTCCCATTGGCCTTTTTTAAATCCGTATGGGATGATTTAAAGATATGTCACCCCTCATATGTCACCCCAAAGAGCAAATGGATAGCTTCCCACTAAGTAGTTAAACATCATTCATTTGTATTGGCTTGTCCTTCAAGGGACAAACATTGTGAATTTAATAATTCATTGATTCAAATAAGAAACGGACTGAGCACAGAGAGAATTAGGCAGAAACAAAGTCCCCAAAATGACTCAGTGGATTTGTTAACTGTACCCAGGCATGAACCAGACATATGAGTTTGTCATTCACAACATTCATAACCCACATGAAGACAAGATTAAAAGATCTACAGTGTAAAGTCATTGTAACTTGCTGAATTCAGAAGGAGAAAAAAAATGAGCATTTGAAATTGATTCATCATAGCCACTCTGATATGGTACACTAACTTGGAAGAAAATAAAATGATTCATATAGACAATTCTCTTAGTAAAATTTTCTATTTCTTGCTAATGACATGATAATTCAGAAAATGCATTAATTTTATTCAAATATATTTTTTTCTAAAATATAAATATTTAAATTAAATTTTTATAAATGCAGAGAATGTAGTTCCTGTTGATCCCCACCCACATCTTAATCAGTCCAAAACTTAAGTGATGAAGAAATAATATTTCTAATTATGATCATTGTAATGTGTCTATAAATATATAATAGGATCTTTGCAACTTAACTATGAGTAATGAACTCATACTTCATGTACTACTGAGCACCTTAGATTATCTATTGTTGAATTAAACTACTGGCATTAATATATGTATTTTAATATGTTATTTACAATACACAAGTATAACTCTCTTGAACAACATTCCAGTGATTTTGAAAATATATAATGAAAGAATGCAATATAGTTTACAAATGCGTCAAAGCTTTCCTTACAATAGGCAGCCTGGGACTTCACTCTTCAGCATTTCAAAATAGGAAACCAAAAAAAAAAAAAAGAAAAAGAAAAGAAAATCAATGTCCCAAAGCTGGTTTTTTTTGTTTGTTTTTTGTGTTCTTTTTTTAAACACTAGCTTCACATGATGCTCTGTTAGGAGTTCTGAAGGAAGGTGTAGGGAATGGCACAATGTACATGAAAGTCTCTGAGGAGGCCTGCAGTTGTGAAACCTGTTTAATGTTGCTTAACTCAGTATTTAACAAACGTTGTTGATTACCAAACCTATTTCCACCCCCACAAAACACCACTCATTGTCCCCTGGAACTAGTGTCATGTGATACATACTTTGGGGAAACGCTGATCTAAAAGAAAACATTGCAACTCAATAAACACATAGGTCTGAGTGAGCAAAATTACATTCCTTTCACACAGTTTCACTTTTTAAAGCTCTTTGCATAGGTATTTGCTAAAATATGATTCTGAAAAGAAAAACAAAACACACAGATCTAAACCAGAGGAAAGGGACTCCCAAATTAAATAATAGGTGTATTTTTGGTGAAGGATAAAAAGCATTAAATCAGTAATATGCTCTGGTGTCTGAAAATATTCTTGTAGAAAAATATCAGGTCATTATATGATTTCCCTGGAATTCCCAAAGAGCTGCGGGATGCTATCAATAGATTTGATTATAACACTGGGTCTGTACCTAAAACCCAGTGTCATCCAGACATATACAACGCTGCTCTATTATTGGTTCAAAAACGCATGCATACAAGCACAGGCAGAAACAAAGGTCAATAAATTGCTCAGTGCTTCCACTGAAAACCACAAAATGAGGATAATTAGCTATCCCCACGTTAGTTGATATATATGAGTGTGTGTGTGCACGCGCGTGTGTGTGTGTAATCAAAATGGCAATCTTTTAAAAAAATATCCATAATTTGCTTTCTATAAATAAAGCTGTCAGTCTTGGCTCTATGACAGCAGACCTTGGTGTGAAGTGCAGCCCAGAATTAAGCATCTTTCATGCACCCCACTCCTCAGCAAGGCTTCAGCAAAGCTTTGCAATGTCTACTTTGGCTCAGTTTCCACCAGCTTACAGCTCAGATCAGTATCCGAGGCTTTATTTTAATTCCTGGTCAGGATATGCTAATATGAACCCTTCAGAATCCTTCTACATCATTGAAAGATAATTCATTAAGACAAAGTAACAGCTGCTTCACACCTAAATAAAGGGTGGGTTTCCATGTGAAGTGCTTTTCTTTCCTTGCCAGCGCAAGTCAAAGAAGTAGGGGATAAATCACAAAACAAGGAGCCGTGGTTACTGGGGAGGAGAGAGGTGACAATGTCCATTTTTCATCTTTTCAGCCCTTGCTTACCTGGGCGAGCCAGTTGACTAGACACTGGTATGATTAAGATCTGTACAGGCTGTTCTAATGTTCACGTCCTTGATTGTCAGAAGCTATGCTGTGTATTTCCAATCGCCTTCTCCTCTTTACTGTTCTGAAAAGACAGTTTGATCCTGATATCCCTTTGTGTTTTCCTAGTCACCCTTGTCGTTGGTGACACTGACAGAGGAGTCTGGGACAGTTACGCAGGACCCTTGGGATCTAAAGCTGACTGTGGCATGTGACATCGGGTGCATCGCTCACTGCACATGGTGTCTGATGGCACACTTTCTGGTGGCTTCGCAGCCCTCCTTTACTTAAAGGCAAGTCGCCCCTCCGTTCAGGCCACCAAGCCCAGTCTTGTGATTTTAGCTGACAGAAAGGAATGGATGATGAAAACAATCGGCTTGGGGCAGGAATGAAGGTCCAGTTGCTGAAATTGAAAAAGAGGAGAGAGCATGAGAGATTTTAAATGAATGCTTGATACGGAATAGCGATTTACACATCAAACGGATCGGTGTACTTGCTGCTTTTAAGAGTTAACTGGGGCAACTAATGTTTTTGAGTCCTTGTCCTTCAGTGGGATAAAATAAATAGTAACTCTTTGAACTTATTCCTTACGTCTCATATATCTTTTTTTTTTCCTGAAGTAGGTTCTGTGAAATTTATATATACCAACAGCATAAATATTGATGTTGCCCTTGACTGTCTAAAGTGTTTATTTTTGGTATCACAATAGTGATACTATTTATGTTGGGATTAGGGATACAACATGAAGCCATACCAAATTTCACATGTGAAGATTAGATTTGAGTCCTGGCTCTCACACTTTTTAGATGTAGAATCTTGGAGTCACTTGAATTTTTCTCAGTCCTATCCAACTCACAGAGTGATTAGAGTATTCAATGAGATACTGTAGGTGAAAATTCCTTATAAACTGCAAAACACAGAACCCATGCTGCTAAGCAGCTGTGTCACCCCTGCCCTGTATGATTGGATTGTTGTCCGTTAAGCCCCTTCTAAAGTCTCATCCTCCTGGTGTGTTCCTAACAGAGCTGACACATTGTCAGAGCATGCGAGTCAGGTTGAATTTTTATCACCCGACCTAATTCAGGAGAACTGGGGGGTGGTTCCCAATTCTCATCTGCTGTCCCCAGCTCTGTTCTGATGATGACACTGCTGGAAAATAATAATCTGAACTCATAATAATCTGTAGCAAAGTTAAGCTTTTACACATCATGAACCAGGCACTGTGCTACATATGTTCTCTACACTATGCCACTGAATTCTCACAAAAGCCCTATGAGGGTAGCTCTTGTCATCTCCGATTTCTATGGGAAACGAAGACTTGGAGAAGTTATAAAACATTCTGTGATCGTAGATCTTACAGTACAGAGACAGCCTGGACTCCAATGCAGTTCTGACACCAGCGTCAGGGTTTAACCACGATTTTCTATTTCACTAATACAGAATGCAACTTTTGGAAGTCCCCTTCAAGGTGACCTACTTCAGTCCCTTGTTTTGTGGGTGGGAATACTCAGATCTAAAGTAATAAAAAGACTTGCCCAAGGCACTTGGGGATTAATCCTAGACTTAGAAACCACATTCCTCTTACCCTCCATTTAATGCATTTCCTACAATTCTTCTCTGTTCCCCTCCCCCACACCGGAAAGGCCTGCTGCCTGCTTTCTGGGCTGGCTTCCCCAGACACTGTGGGAGGTATCGCTGAACCTGAGCTTATCAGCCTAATATGCTGGCAGAAAAAAAAAAAAAATCAGTCCTTCCTATGTCTTCCAAGTCAGGCTGTAATTATAGGCAAAACGGCTGACATTTAGACATAAGTGATTTTCATCACAGACAAAAACATCCTTGAATTTTCAAGGATAGATAAAGCAAAAGACTGATCCTTGCTCTTTTCCACTTGACTAGGGAGTTGTCACCTTTAGGTAAAAGTACACAGTTGGGTGATTGACAAAGCAGCCACTGAACTTGAAGCTTTCTTAGTAAAATAGACTTGGATGTCATTTATTTCCAAACTGGTTCTTCAGGCTTAGCTTACTGATTGAAACATACAGAGAAACGACAACAAAAAAGTCTTACAAAATGCTGCGGGTCCATTTTAAAAGTTAAAAAAAAAAATGACTAACTGGAAAATGCTCTCAGAAAGTGAGTTCAGATCAAGTCAGCCACAGGACGTCGCCTTAGTGAGAAGTTTGGTGCTGTGTTGAAGCTGGTAATATTGCATGTTCTAGAACATGTGGTGCTGAAACTTTAAAGGCCCCTACACTTTTAAAAGTGCAGTCCTGGCCCTTTCTCCCAGCCATCCCCCACTAGGTAACCTTGAATGCTTTTCAGAGACTCCCCAATGAAGCCCCGCAGGAGAAATGAATGAAATAGCTATGGAGAGATGTGGGTTGGGAAAGGGGGGAGTGTGGAAGGCCAGTAGCCAAGCTGAAATGACTGGACCTTAAGATTTATCTCTGCGTGTCATATATTCCTCATCCCTGTCATCAAGCGGAAGTCAACATTTGTGGACTAACACAGTGGCTAGTTATTAAGCTAAACAGAGACTACTTATTATACAATCAAGGTCCTCTTTGAAGTTCTACGTTTCCGCAGTTTAAATGAGATGCTTTGTCTTTCTGAGAAATGTCAGGAACTACTCTCGCTAGACAGAAGAACATGCAATTCTTGCCCTTCAGTGGAACTGAACTAATTTCCTTTTTTGTTATGGTAGGCAGTAATGGTCACAGGAAACCATGAATTGAAACACAGGGGCTGTTTGCATGGATATGAAAAGTATAGATGTTACCTTTGCTGACAAATTCATTAACTTCGTTGGACATTATTGGACATGAGCCCCAAACTCCTGGGCTTTTGTTTGGCACAGTCTCCGCTTGGGTGGAGTTGACAGTTTCTCTTTGTTCCCCACTGCCCCTCGCCTGCCCTTCCCACCCACATTTGCTCTCTATGCCACCTGCTCCTGAGTCCTTCCAGGTAGCCTCCCTGTATCTTATCCCTGCATCCCTGACACCTAGCACAATACCGAGGTTACGTCCCATGCTCGATACTTTAAAAAATAAATGGCATATTTTGAAGCTGGTGGGACCCTATTTGAGAAGAACTTCATGCTGACTCTGTAAATGATTCTTTCCTTTCATGCGAATATTTATGCAGTATTCTAGTGGAAAATGAGACCAAGTTAAAGAACTGTGAAAGAATTGGACCGATCGCTGTTTCTCAAGGAGCGAATAAGACGTGAACCTGCCAAGTACTTTGTTAATCGGCAAATGATAGATAAACACAAGGCGGCATTATGTTTGTGAGCCATGATAGACGTGTTGCATAGTGAAATATACGAAATCACATGTGCTAAAGGAATGTGCACTTACAATCTCTCCATCTTTGCCTCCAAAATCTAAATACAGCATCCTGATTCCATCGTCTGAAGACATTTTCAGCTTTTCGTACGGAGCCTGTATGATTGTCTTGGGGAAGGTACCCTCCTGTGGTTCAGTGATGATAGAAAACCCGTTGTCATAATGTATGGTCAGACGGCACTCCTGGTTTTTGTAGGTGCAAGCTGAGAGAGAGAGAGAGATAGAAAGAGAGAGAGAGAGGGAGATGAACAATGGAAGTCAATCCATTTTCCCAGGTACTTAACTTTCAGGTCTCCTCAGTCCCAGGGACCAGCCACAGATTTCTTTCTAAAGTTAAAAAATTAATCATTGTTTTTGAAAATATCCTCCTTGGAATGGTTTTGATCTTATACTTTAATTTCTTCTGTGAAACTAAAAGAAACTGTAGGAAATTCCATGTACTGTGATTGACTGACTTTTATCTGGTCTCTAGCCCTGATCTGACCGTCTGACAACCCACAGGGTAGGAAAGTGTTCTCGCCTTCCGATGGCTTTGCCTCAAGCTGGGAAAAACTGACATGTGATTTAGAGCAAGCTGCCTCTGAGTCTT